AAGAAAAAACTCAGGCCAGAAAATACCAGTCCAGGACGGAAACCTTTTTGAAGAGATCCACTAAGATCCTATATGCCAACCAAAAATCAAGTGGTTGATAACTAGCTGAAACTAGCTGAAAACTCAGCTAGTTTAAGACCGCATTCTTTTTCTTTCAAGTCTGGCAAGATTACTATAATTCTAGGAAAATATAAACACTGATAAGCATAAAAAAAAAAAACAGGGAAGGGATAAAACAAGTTTATAAATAATGAAGACATAAATCAAATCCATAGTATAAATAATTCTTTTTTTTAAAGATTTTATTTATTTATTTATTTGAGAGAGAGAGAGTGAGAAACAGCATGAGAGGGGAGAGGGTCGAGGGAGAAGCAGGCTCCCCGCTGAGCCGGGAGCCTGATATGGGACTCCATTTCAGGACTCCGGAACCATGACCTGAGCCAAAGGCAGTCGCTTAACCAACTGAGCCACCCAGGCGCCCATAGTTTACATAATTCTTAATCACTTAAGTGAAGGTATAATATATTTTGAATCCCATGGTGATTACTCTGTGTGTGCGTGTGTGTGTGCATGCGCGTGTGTGCTGTTTGCTTTTAAAAGTTTGTGAAGCTTTTAAATGGAAATGGTAGAGGTTCTACTGAAACATTTAGGAGAATTTGTCTAAGTTTCTAATCAGCATTTAAATATTTAAGATGATATGATTCATAAAGTATGTTTTATTTGTGGCAAAAGTAGCATTTGAATGTTTAGGAAAAAATTAATAATTAATGAGATTTAAAATGTGGGTAATTAAAAAGGTACCAATAGCAATAAATGTTTTCCCTACATAAAAGAGCCTTGGTCATTTTAGGAATGATGTTATTCCCTGATTTTTTCTTAATAGAGTTCTTGTCCTAATCTTGCATAAAACACAGCCCCACCCTCCAAGACCTTAGCAAAGACTGACAAGAAAAGAGGTAAGGCAGACTCTGATAGATACTGTGGTTCCATTTACATCTCTGATAAAATAAACATCAAAATCTTTACTGGGAACCCCAGAGAAGAAACGTTTTTCTTCACACGTCCTCCTCCCAACAATAAAAATACATAAAGCAGGTGTGTGATTCCTCTAACAAAGATACAGGTACATCTCTTACTTTACAGGATTGACATTTTCAACGTTTGTCTTTAAAAGCTACAGTAGGTCAGTCTGACATGCTTTTTAGAGCATCATAACTTAAACTTAGAGAATTGGCTTGAGTTGATAATGATAATGGCAAAGATGAAATCTCGTTTACAAAACTGCCAAGCCAGAAAAAGCAAACCTCTTGTCTAATAGTCCTGATCAATGCGTTAGCTACTCCACACAATATTCAATATTCCCACAAAAATGTCCCAGAACAACAAAGGCTTGCGGACAGAGTGTCTTGGAGCCCGTGTAATGGGATTTGACAAGAGCCAGGCACTTTAGGCAGGCTCAATCAATGTTAATTGAAGCAGAAGTGATTCAAAGGCAAATGGGAGTCCTTGAGAGGTGAAAGGGGGGCTCTGGGATTGTGACTCCCTCCTTTTCCCATTACCCCCTTATATTTAATTACTTGTTCTAGCCGGTGACTGTAATTTGATTTGCCATCAGGTGACTCTTGCCTGGTCTCATATGTTAGTTGAGTCTTCCATTTAAAGGAAAAGTATCTTGTAACCTGTGAAGGTGCCTGTTTTCACAGGAAGGAAACTTCTTTGGCAAGTGGGTCTCAGATTTATAAAGGCTCCTTTCCAGTTCCTAACACAGCAGAGGTATCAGTAGAAGGACAAGTGGAGAAACGGTTTAGTCTCCAATGATACTGTTATATTTTCTCTGGGACGTTATTATTTCTATAATTGACCAGCACCTGAATTTTGAATTCACTTGGGCTCCCACAGAAGCAGACCCTAAAACAGGAATTTGTGAGCAGATTAACTCCTTACTGGGAAAGTGATTCTAGGAAACATGGGTTGAGAAGCAAGGGAATGACACAGGAAGGAAAGGCAGACAACAAAAGTGGGTTAACAAACTAGTTCCCGCCATGGACAAGAGGAGTGTCACCTCACTGGGGAGCTCAGAGCCAGGGCAGACCAGGCCTCAGTTGGCCCACCCAAGGGTGAGGAGCTGGATCATTTATATACCAACTCTCTTCAGTGGGGTTGAGGCTAGTCTCAGTGGGGAGAAGAATGAACACCCCAGCACTTCTGGCCTGGATCACCAGGCCCCACAGCCAGAGAAAGCCCTCAGAAACATGGACAAGGTACCAACTGCATCTGCTACAATCTGCCTACAAATATGTAAAACGCTTTAAAGTCCAGTGGTCAATAACACCATCTTCTGTCCTTTGAACAGATACACAGTAACACCACCTTCTGGATGAGCTGTTGGAGCAAACTGGGAAGAGGTTGTTTCTGTCTGACATAAATGATGTCCTTCGATACAGCTTTAGGAACTAAGGTTAGAATCAGCATCGCTTTGTTCAAGAATCTAATATTTTCCCCGTACATGGTGCTCTCTCATTTACCCTTGAGAAAGTTCTTGGACTCAACATTGACATCCATTAGGATCTCCTCTGGATAAGATGCACCAAAACCTGAATACTAAATAGAAATAGAATTCAGCATAAGGTAGGTTCAACCTGGACCCCATCCAGAAGAACACCTTTACTTTTCATATCGATTTACAATTAGTTGACATACATTTGCCAAGAGCTTAGAGAGTAACTGTGGGAAGCAGGTAGGAAAGTTGATAATTAATAGCCCCAAGTTATAAATAAGGACGATGCAGTTCCAAAGGTAAGGTTCACAGTAAGAAGCCAAGAAAGCAGACAGGCACTGGGTCCAAGGTGAGGAAGCAGCTGACCAAAATGGTAAAGAACCCAAGTTTTGGAGTTAGGCAGACCTGGTGATTTACAGCTATGATCCTCACCAAATGGGGAGCTTGGCCCACTTACGCAGCAATTTCATGCCTGTTTCTCATCCAGATCATGGGAGTTCAGAGTACCTACGGTTGTTGTGATGATTAAATGAGCCACAACTTGCAAAGTGCTTTGCGCCCAGTGCCCAGTATAAAGTAAATACTTAGTAATTGTTACCTGCTTTTGTGTTGTTACTATTATTGTTTTAATGACTCCAAGGTAGAAAGTAGAAAATGCTCTTTCTATTCTGCATGGTTTGAAGTCCAGGGCTATCTGTGGGACTATAACACACACCATAGTAACCAGAGAAGAGCGACTTTATTTGCCACCCTACATGAAATGAATGATCTTAGCTCTTGACTTTGCTTCACATGTTGGTCATCCAGAAATCTCAGGTGTGGTGCTGGAGACTGCAGGGGGCAGGTTTCAAAAAGTGCTTTCTACTGATGTGGCAGACACGGTCTGATGAGGCCTGAGATGGGTCGAATTCTTCCCCCATGGTGAAGACCTCTCTGTTAGTATCTAGAGAGACTCGCCTGCCCTCAGATGGTATGGGCCTAATGTTGCAAACAAGTGGGAGAGATGGTCTCTCCTACATCTATGTGCCTGGTAGATTTCACTTTCTATAAAAGCAAAAGTGTTGTCTCTGTGAAGGAGGTAACAGCTGCCATATTGCCCCGAGGGAGGAATCAAGGTATTTGGCTACATGGTCAAGGTAGTGAGCTGCAGATTGTCTTCTCCTGACTTCTGTCCCATGAATCTTCACCTTTCTTGCTAATGGCTTTAAAGCAAGGAGGCCTAAGATGCTACTCAAAGGCTACTGGGTTCTTAGTCAACTATGTAGTCAGCCATAAGGACTTAGAGTGTTCTTTCAATTCTTTGCTAACAAACAGAAGGATCACCATTTATGGAATGCCGCCACATCCCAGTATGTTTACAATGTGTATGGTGTCATCCGTGTGATGTCCTTCTACAGGCACTTACGACCATAACTACAGGAAGGATCGTTATTCCCATGTTGTGTGTGAGGAAACTGAAGTTCTAAGAGTATGCAGCTTGTTCTAGAGTCTCAGAGAAATACATGGGGGCTCCAGAATGAGATGGCAGCACCCTGGCCTACCTGGGCTACACCATAACTAGAGAGGTCTAGAGCTGACCATAATATGAGGAAGGGAAGTTGACCACACACACACGGACCCTGCGTGGAGACAAGAGATGGCTCTGGAGACACTCCTGAAAGAGCAGTAAAGCTGCGTCCGGCTGCGATCTCCGACAGGTCAACCACTCAAAGGTCTACCCTGGACTTTCGGACAAAGCACTGAGGACACAGTGGTGCAGGAAATTGACAGAGACCTTGTTGCTGAGTCAACCAAAGGTGTTTTATTGCAAGGCAGGCACAGTTACAGAGCATTCAGCCAGAGACACACAATTTCCGTAAACCCAAACACAGAAGCAGGCCTTGCTCTCGGATTCCTCCAAACTGAGCAGATCCACAGACAGACCTGAGCAACCCTGTTGACGAGGTCAGCTGATCTCCAATTCCTGCTTTGCCTTGGAAAATGGCACTGTCCACTTATTGTTGCTTAGCTTTCATTCAGGGTGCTTGAAGCTGCTTTTGATATTTATAATTTCTCCACCATTCTAACTGCAGGATCAGATAGGAATTAAATTTCAACCTGCAAGGTTTGTGTTTCTTTGTAGTGTAACATATATATCAAATAGCGTGCAAGAGCCCCAGGTATAATATATGTTTGATTATATTTCAACTCCAAGCGATACCACATTGAGATCACTTCAGTAGCTAAGCAAATGTGACTCGGGCCATTACCTGGATCCAAAACTTGAAAAAGAAAAAAAAGAAAGAGAGGAAGGAAAGAAAGGAAAGAAAGGAAAGAAAGGAAAGAAAGGAAGAAAGGAAGAAAGGAAGAAAGAAAGAAAGAAAGAAAGAAAGAAAGAAAGAAAGAAAGAAAGAAAGAAAGAAAGAAAGAAAGAAAGAGAAAGAAAGAAAGAAAGAAAGAAAGAAAGAAAGAAAGAAAGAAAGAGAAAGAAAGAAAGAAAGAAAGAAAGAAAGAAAGAAAGAAAGAAAGAAAGAAAGAAAGAAAGAAAGAAAGAAAGAAAAGAAAGAAAGAAAATGTATTTTTAATCTAAGGATCAGTACTACACAAATCAAATCATGCAGCCCCATTTACAAGGTAACCTGGGATTGCAATTCAGAAAATCCTTAGGGACAGAATTTGTTCATAAACAAGGCTAATTTCAGCAACAGAATTATACTTTCTAAAGCAATTCTTCTTACAATTCACAGGGCCAAGAGAAGAAAAAAGAAAAGACAGAGGGGGGAAAAAAGGAAAGAAAGCCAATAATTCAAAAGCATCCAGAACAGTGTTATGCAGGTGGTGGCAAAGCAAAAACAGTCCAATCAGGAACCACATGCAGCTCAAAGAGCTTCAGTATGAAGGGGTGCTGGGCTTGAGTCCCACTCCAGGTGCTTCTTGGTTCCAGCTGCTGTGTTTCTGTCCTGGGGACCAGCAACATCTCCCTCACTGTCCTTCAGCAGTTCCCCCAGAGACCTGAGAAGGTGGTCTGTCCTCTGGCCAAAAGTGGAGCCTGTGGAAGGACACATGGGAAACAGCCCATCAGGCCTGGGCCCAACCATCTGCAGCTAAAGGCCGATGGAGTCAAGGGCAGAGGGAAGAGTGATGTTTCCTCACCTCCTCCAGGCTTCCTTCCTGCCGCCTCTCCAGAAGGGTGGCTTTATGCTTGGGAGCAGCCAGTGGCTTGGAATCTTTGAGATCTTGTAGTGAGCTCATTGGGGTACCCATCACATTTCAGTCCATGATATCTCTGTTGACAAGAACATAAAATAAATACCCCTGCATCACTGATCTATGAATCTTGAGGAGAAGGAGACACAACAGAGTAACAGACACATGGAAAGAAGAGAAGGGAGGACGAGAGAGAATAAAACTCAGAAAGGATACTCTACCTGCCACCTTTCCCTGGAATTCCCCTAGGTGGTCACATCCTGGACAGGAGGCTCCAGGTGAAGTCTTAGACCGCGCAGCGGTCTCAAAGGTCTGAAAGGTCAGGAAGCATCATTCCACTGCCACGTAGGCACCTGAACTCAAAACTCAGCTCCTTGAGAACCTCAGCCAGCTTTGCCCCAACTCTCCTGAGTGGATCCTGTCACTGAAATACTACATAACAGAGAGCAAAGTGCAGTTGAAAATTAGCAGGAGGTCCTCCATCTTCCTTTGCCCCTGGGTGGTGGTCGGGGAAAGGGCAGGGGGTTGGGGTAGGAGGGGTATCAACAACCACCTGGGCTTCTCTTTAGTGATTTCAGTCTTCAACTTCAAACTCTCAACTCCCCACCCACTGATAAATCTCTAAGAAGATTCCTCCAGGCCCATGGTCCATGCCCTTTGGTTCAATCTAGCCTTGCTCATTGACTCTAAAGCATCATCCAGATCCTGAAGAAAGTTTCTATGCCTGGGTCAGGAGAACTCCAGACCTGAAGTGTGCCAGACACCTGGTTCCACTTGTGACACCCCCCTTTCCCAAAACTCATGGGAAGTCCAGGGCTAGCCCTCTGTCCTTCGTAGAACCTATCTCCCTGGAACATGGGGTAGGCTGCACACCACTGAGGAATACAGGCTGAGAATCATAGGAACTTGCAGTGCTACCACGAAAGGCAGAGAAAGAGGAACTTATCCAAACACACCCAATTACCAGTGTTATACTGAACAGTAGGGGCCGGTGGGAGTGGTCTGTCCTGGCCACACATTATAAAGAGGGCACACTGTCTGTAGGAGATTTAAAATCAATAATAAAATTAAGAGTTACTCTACTTTTTACTATGACCATGCACTGGCGATTCTAAGAATGTCAGTGACAAAAGAGCCCTTCCCACCCAGGCAGAACCCCATCCTTGGCCCCTTCTGCAAACTATTCATGGTATTCTCATCCTGCCAGAGTCTGTCCTTGTGCTCCTCCATCTGCCTGGAATTTTCTGCCCCCGATACCACCTGCCAACATATTACCAACTTTCAAGCTCCATTTCAGATGCTACCTCTTCAAGGAAGACTCACGACCTCTTGACTAGGAGTAATCCCTCTTCCTCTTAATTCCTATGGCAATTTACCTATATTCTTTTATTTCTTCCTTGTATTATACTTGAACATGCAAAAATATTATCTTCCCTATTAATATACATCAAGATGCCATGAAAAATATGTGGGATTTGAAATTAGGCCTACATTAGATTCCCAGTTTTTACTCTGAACTAGCGGTGTGATGCTGGGCTAATTTTAACCACCTCTTTGGCTTATTTCCACATCTATAAAATAAGGAAAATATCAGGGTTGTTGCATTAAATTAGATAAACACACAAAATATCTAGCCTGAGATATACCCTTGACAGTTATTGGTTTCTCTACTCTCTTTATAAGGGTAGAATCTTATTCTTTTTTTTTTTTTTTAAAGATTTTATTTATTTGACAGAGAGACACAGCGAGAGAGGGAACACAAGCAGGGGGAGTGGGAGAGGGAGAAGGAGGCTTCCCACGGAGCAGGGAGCCTGATGCGGGGCTCGATTCCAGGACCCTGGGACCATGACCTGAGCCGAAGGCAGACGCTTAATGACTGAGCCCACCCAGGCACCCCTGGTAGAATCTTATTCTTTCCTCCCTACTCCTGCAGGACTTACCCAGAAAAGTGGTAAAATGTGGAGGGTACTGAAAATGATGATATGGAAAAAGTAGAACATAAGCCTGTTTGGAGGATTCAGTGAGGGAGTATGTGTTAAGTTCTTAGATCAAAACATGGTACACGGTAAGAATTATAGTAATGAATATTACATAGAATAATTTTATGAGTTATTGTAGGATTCCCTGACCCCATGAAGCACTCCAAATATCAATTATCAAGATACTCCTTCCCCTGCTTCAAACTTCTTCCTCTCTTCCTCAAAAAAAATGTCAGAAGGTAAATAGTGACAGTGGAATTTTTAGAAAATCACGTAATGTTAGAGCTAAGAGACGTTTTCCCCTTTTAGGTAACATGTATTGAGAATCCATGATGTGTGAGGTACCATCCTAAGAACTTTACAAATAGTGTCTTATTTAAATCTCATCTGAACCCGGTGAGGAGCTGCCTTGACTATTTCTATTTTATAGATGTGGCAACTGAGGCACAGAGAGGTTAAGGAACTTGCCCATGGATGCACAACCAGTCAGATACAGAGCTGGGTTTGTTAACTAGGTGGAGAATCAAGCTCTCACTCACTGTGGATGTACTCCAGAACTTTCTGTGAGGATGGAAATGTTCTGTGCTAAGATGGTAGTCATTAGCCATAAGTAGCTCCTGAGAATGGGTCTACTTGAGGAACTGATTCACATGTCAATGAGGAACTGACTTTTAAATTTTACTTAATTCTACTTAATTTAAATATAAATAGCACACATGTCCAGTGGCTGTCATATTGGACACTGTTCCTTAAAGACCTTGCAGAGGCCCCTCAGTTTGATGTTAGAGATGACATGATTTGCCCTAGACATAAAGTCAGGGCAGAACCTTCAGAGGGGGGGAGCAGGACTATGCTAATTATAGAGCATAGGATTGGAGCAAGATACACTTGAGTTGGAAATGCAGGTTCTTTCATTCACTGGCTGTGCCCACAGCACATGAGTCAACCTTCCTGTGCATCTGATCTCTTTTTGGTTAAGGAGGCCTAATAATAGCATTTCTAGGGTCAATGTGATCATCACATAAAACAGCATATGAGAGACAGTGCTTAGCACATACCTGGTATAATTTAAGGGGAAGCTGTAGCACACATACTCATAACTTAGAAGAATGCCTCTCTCCATGCTCGGCGAGAGAGCAGAAGAAAGTAATAATATCAGTGGGACAGGGGAGAGGTTTTCCACCTGCATTCCACTCAGGATGCACATGTATGTCACAGACCAAGCACAAGATGAGCGATACAAATGCTTTCTCACTTCAACAGGCTCTCAGAGTCTTAGTGTGTGATTCTAGTGTTTATATGTGATTTTCCCCTAATGCCCTGACTTTAGAACTTAATCACCACCCCACCCCATGCTAAATAAGGGTCCTTAATGTTATTCTTCCCTGCACCAAGTTCTTCTGTGCAGGCTATTATTATGATTATTTCTACAGCCAAGTAGCAACACTCCTTATCCCAGGTTGGCTACATTCTTGTTCTCATTCAGTTCATACTCAAATGTGCATGAACTCTCTCCCTTTCTCTCTTGTTCTTTCTCTTTTGTGTGTATACACACGTTTATGTTCTCTCTCTGTGTTAGTTTTTAACTAACTGTGTTTCACCTCTAAACCCACCCTGCTTCATAGTGCTGGGGCTGGGACCCTGCAAAGCACATCTCTCCTGGGCCACAGGCTCCCTCCTGGGTTGGGGGGGGCCCGCGCTGGCTCCTTCCAGGATTCCTATTCTGTCACGTGACTCCAGCAAGTCACATGACTCCACCCTGCCAACAGCAACTGGATCCAGTCAGAGCACCTGCTTCCACTTTGCAGTTTCTCTGTATTCCCAGCCCAGCTAGCTGTCCAGTGTCCCCTCCTTGGAAGTCTGGGTTCCCCCTCTGCAAGGCCCATCATCCAAGTATTTAAGTTTTCATTATCCTAACTTCTTCTCTTGGCTCCGCCAGCCCTCGAGGTACAGCTGCTTCCTGCAGCGTATGACCTCTGTGAAGCTCAGTGTCCCTTTGCACCTCTTGGATTGTCCAACACCTTGTTGACAAGTGATGAGGCTCAAGAAATGCCATCCAAAAGGTGCCACCTTGGCCTCCTGAATATTTTAAACTGGAGTCTAAGGAAACAGCAGAAGCAGTAAGGTCACTATGTCCTCTGCCCCCTCTCACTCTTCTTCCCTGAAACAGGTCACAAAGCGCTCCTGGGAGAGGTGGCCTCTCAATACTGGGAGGAAAGGAGCGTCCTCATCTCTAAAGACAAAGGGACACCTAGAGGAATCCTAACCAAGGGCCCTGCTAAGTTTCCACCAGGTTACTGTGCTTACCTCCTAGTCCTTGACCTATCACACTCCCCCACAATGGCCCGCTCTCCATCCTGCCTCGCTGAGAAACTCGCAGCTCTAACCAGTGCGGCGGGTCTTCGTTTCCTTGGGAGGGCTCCATGTCACGTAACATTTCTACTACATAAATATGTTTTTCTCCTGTTAATCTGTCCTTGTCAGTTTGCTTTTCAGGCAGAAGCAGGGACCCTGAAGGAGTTGAGGAAAACTTTTTCCCTCCCATACAAGTCTTCATAGTATTTCCTTCTGTTAAAGTAACTTGTTTAGCTTCTGTCTCCTGACAAGATCCAACCTGATACACTCTTCCTCTCCCTCTTCCATGGACAAGCTATGTTACTGTGTATATAAGAATATATGAACATGTCTTACAGGGGGTTTTCCCCCACATAAAAGCTATCAATAAATTATTAACATATCCTGGCATTTCTATTCTAGAGCCTCTCTGCCTAGCGTGTCAGTACAGAGTAGAAAAAAAGGAATAGAGCACATCAAATCATATAATTTGATATATCAGAGAGTAATTAACCCCTGAGGCGCAATCTCTGGGAGCTCATTCCTGGGCACATCTGCCAGGGCAGCTAAAAATCAGGTAAAACACATGGACATTTCTATTAACAAAGATCAACACATGGGAGTCCTGGCAGGGGCATTGGCTAAAGCCTAGGGTGCAGACCTTCTGTAGCAATACATCAACAACTAACTATGTCAGATGAACCAGAGCCCTCTGCAATGCTGCAGCCTTTGACAAGCTTAACTGCCCCCATCTGCCAGCTCTTCAGAGAAGGTACGTACACACAACACAATGCAATGCAATACAATGCAATGCAATGCAATGCAATATAAGAGGAGACTATATTAGAACCACTTTAGAGGTACTGACCATGACCACCCCTTTCCCCACTTCCCCAACAATGCTGTCAGTCTTATCCTTTATAAATATGGCAGGAGACCTGGGATAAAATCCCCACTGCTTGTTGGTCACCACCTGCCTTTTCAACCTAGGTGAGCTGAAGAAGCCCATGTTGACTCACAGCACCTCCACTCACAGGCAGCTTTCATTCTTCTGCATTGATCCCTGTGGATGAATCAGGTCTTCATGCCACAGATACAGTGACTGTCTATCATCCACAGTGTGGCTAGCCCCAACATGATCTGCAGCCAACATATGCCTACTAGAACACCGGGCATCCAAACTCGGAGCGGCCATCACAACCTGGATCTTCAGACTCCAAACCACTTTCCATCTTCAGTATGCTTCAGCTGGTACCTTCTTCCCTGTGTCACTTTTTTTTTTGTTTTGTTTCCCTGTGTCACTTGAACCACACTCCTTCGAGGAACTCACATGAGAAAGCCTATGGGTTCTGGCTTCAGTGTCACCCACTGTTAACCCGGGCCTTCATAGACAGTGGTTTCCTCAATGTTCAAAACCTCTCTCTCCTCTCCTTTCCAAGCCATTGTTCCCATTAATACCTGTAAATGCAGCAGAGGCTGTCAATATTCCGCTCTTATCCCTCAGGTCTTTCCAAGGCCAACCTCCAACTGCCATTAGCTGCATCTCTTTGCATGAGAGTTTTCCCAAAAAAACTATCTGTCTGGGCCTGGCAGGCCAGGAATATATGGATAACCCATCCTGAGAGGAGTCCTCAACCCGAGGCTGATACAGTCCAGGGGATACTGATGAGGTGCATGTTCTTAGCTGTTCCCCATTATCTCCCCATACGCTTGAGCATAAGTGTCCATCATCATCTGCAGCTGGCTCAGGAACACACCCTTTCTTGGCTGCCTTTCTATCTCTTATCTTCCTTTCCCTTTCCTCTTGGTGGTGTTTCTGAAACTTCTCAAATAAACTACTTGCTCTAAATCTTTGTCTCAGGGTCTTTCCTGGAGAACCAAACTTAGGCAGAAGAAAACTACCTTTTTCCAATTCCAGTTACTTCAAGGCATTTCAGCAAATGCTTTAATTTTATGTACATATTGATACATGAACATAAATACGTGTTCCTAGGCTACTTTAATTGGATTTATAAATAATGAACAATATGTGTCTGGCTGGCATTTGAATTTTCATGTATTTTGCTTTGTGCTGGTTCTGTCTCTCCTGTAAGTTGATAAGACATTCAAAGGCCAGGAGTGCATCACCTCCTTCTTCTATAATTTTCCACAATGCCTGGCATGATGCTCCGCAGAGTGAATATTCAATCAGGGCTGACAGACAAGAAGCCACAGAGGTCAGGTCCGTTTGTCCCAGGGGCTTGTCAAAGGTGAGAAAGCTCCTAAGAGAAGGAAACTGTGATGCTATTTTCAACCCTTTGAAGGATGAGCCTGGAAACCCAGATTGGAAGCTGGCACTGAGACAGGGCACCAAGTCAGGACACCAGAGTCCTGTGGCACATGTTCAGCCCTTT